CGCGACGGCTCCAGCAAAGGCACCGAGAAGGCGACGCCGGGCGGTGCCAGCCGTAGCGTGTTGGCCCGAGGCCGGTTCTCGCGGACACCGAAGACCGGTCTGAAGCCGCCTGGCGGAGCTCAGGCATCACTTCCTCTGGGAAGGCCGCTCCTTTGGCCCGGCGGGCGCCCGCGTGCCCAGAGTTGCCTGTACCCCTGGCACCGTTCTCTGCGTTCGGAGCCTCCAGGGGACGCGCCTGCATCTCCCGCTACACCTGGGGCCCGGGAGTGCCCTGCCGGGTGCCCCTAGCGCGGGCGAGAAGGCGTTCTTTAAATGTTTGTTAAATGAACAAATGACTGTGAACTGGATCTTGGCGGGAGGTGGAGGAAGGGAGAGCCAGGGGGTGACGGTGGGATGTTAAGTGCCAGGTCTCCTGTGCATTTCAAAAGGCTGACATGGCTGAGTAGAGAGGGGGCCGGGCCAGGACAGACAAATAAGGGGTTGAAGAACCGTGAAGGCTGACCCAAGAGACATCCTTGAAAGCAAGGAGGAATTTTAGGATGGAGGGCGGTCACACTTCCCTGCCTTTCCTCTTACGTCAAGCATGTCAAACTCAAAGGCTAACACGGGCCAAATAAACAAGGTTTAAGTTTATGTGGGCCACAAAACAACAAAAGCTTCAGTTTTCATAGAAACATCGGTTTACGATAGAGACATGCTGAATACAAAGGGCTGAAATAAATGAGTAATCGTTAACATAATAGAACATTTTAATAAAATTTAATATTTTTTCTTGAACATTAACTTCCCAGACACTGAATAACTGCACAAATTAATATGCATAATGCAAATAAACCTGTTTTTCTTGTTCTCCGAAAGCGAAATATTTCCTGTTGCGCACACCAAACAAGTCAGTACAAGACTAATGACGTGGCCATCGGCTGCTAAAATATTCGCTGCTGGTATTAGTGGACAGAAATGGTGCGCCTGCACATAAAGCGTGTAAGGGAAAGGAATGCAACACGATTATAGTAATCAGTCATTAGCGAACGTTGTAGTTTGTTATTAATAATTATGTTTGACGGGATATTGTAAAAGTTAAGTTAGGAAATTTTTGTTAAAACGTTTCTTACATACCGTTATATTGTCTGGGCAGCAAAAATATTTGTTGGAGTTTGACATGCTTGTCTTATGTCTCCCTTCACCCCGAACAAAGGTCGTTCTCATTTCTTGGAAATGTTGATCGTGCACCTCCTCAAGGAAGCTCTCCTGGGTTCCTGGCTTATTCCCTTCCCTTCTGGCTTGTTGCAGCCTCTCTCATCCCGGGAGCACCCTTGTCAGGCCTGTGATTATAAGAACAGTGAACTCAGGTTTGAGGAGAGGGTTGGTTCCTGGTACTGGGGAGGGGCTGCAGAAACCTCGCGGCCCCTTCTGAGGTGGTTCATAGGTCCATGCTCTACCACTGAGCCACAGTTTGTTAGGTTTTGCTTTGTTTTGTTGGGGCGCAAGACTACTTCATATGTGGTGTTGTGGACTTCCAGTAGAACTATCCACTGAGCCAAACCGGCTTCGGCTGTTTTGCTTTTTTTTGTGACAAAATAAGTTGTTGACCTCACAGATGTCAATGTGCATTTCTCTTAGCACCAGTGAGGTGAACTTCCCTTCATTTGTGTAAGAGCCTTTTATGTGTATTCCTTATTGTCTGAACCATTTCAAATTCTTTCACCAAGTATACACAGCTGGCATGTTTCTTATTTATGTGTAGAAATTGTTTTATCTACTAAGAATATCAGCTCTTGCCCTAGCTGGTTTGGCTCAGTGGATAGAGCGCCGGCCTGCAAACTGAAGGGCCCCAGGTTCAATTCAGGTCAAGGGCACAAGCCCAGGTTGCGGGCTCGATCCCCAGTAAGGGGCGTGCAGGAGGCAACCGATCAGTGGTTCTCTCTCATCATTGATGTTTTTATCTCTCTCTCCCTCTCCCTTCCTCTCTGAAGTCAATAAAAAAATATTTAAAATATATACATCAGCTCTTTCTCTGTTAGGTGACTTTCAATCACTCCTTCCCTCCCTGATCGCCACAGCAGGAAGGCTGCACTCTAGACACAGCTATACTTCTCTTTTATAGTTCTCATAATATTGCTCCTCGTTTGGGGGATGCTTTCTTTATGTCATTTGTTGCCACCTAGAGCATGAGATCCCTAGGACAGCAACCTTGTATGTCCAATTCCCACAGTTCTGCCCCTCACATGACCTGGCACAGTCAGTGGAAAGGACACTCTCACCCCATCAAATGCATGTGACCATTTGCTTGTAACTCCTGGGACTAAACCATAGTGCCAAGCCCCACGGAGCTGAGTGTGGTGGAAAAGGCTGGCGCTGGACCCAGTGAAAGCAGTAGGAGATGGAAGTAGGGGCAGGGTTACAGGCCAGAAGTTTATAAATCAAGTGTTTATAGATCAGGGTCCCTTGAGCTGAGCTGAGAATGGGAAGGAGGCAACAACATCAATAATCTGCAAGGGCCCTGGCCGCTTAGCTCAGTTGGTGATAGTGTCTTCCTTATACGCCAAGGTTGCAGGTTCAATCCCTGGTCAGGGCACATACAAGCAACAACCAATGACCGCATGACTAAGTGGGACAACAAATCGATCTCTCTCTTTCTCTCCCAAATCAATAAATTAAAAAAAACATTTTTTTTAATCTGCAAGGGCAACTTATTGGGTAAAACCAATCCTATGCCCATGCCTCTGCCCACAGGCTAGCACTCTGCCAGCCCCGCCTGGACTACTCACACAGTGCAGGTGCAGGGGAGCCTCATCCATGTGCAGGGCACTAACATGGGGGTCCACATCTTTCTGGAAATTCTCTGCCAAGCCGCCTCTAGGGGCCCAGTGATTTGCACCCCTTGAACCTCCTGAATCTTGGAGGGGTCCTGGGAACTCCTGGCCCTGGGGTAGAGGGTACTCTGAGCTCTGAGCTGGGCTACATTTGTCATTTATTTCATCTAAACCCCCACAACCAGTTTTCCTCTGTGTTTGGTGGATTCCCCAATGTATGTATTTTTCTGGTGAGCCCGCTGAGATTTGAAAGGGAGAGGTAACTTTCCCAGACTCAGGGCTTGGCACTCAAAGGGCATTAGTTCCTGCTGCAAAGCTGTGGAAGGGCAGACGCCAACACCCCACTAGGCTTAGGCCCCATCCTCCCTTCCTCACATCCACCCCAACCCACTCTCCTGTCCCCAGGAAGGGAGCCTTTTGGGGAATGTCCTGCATGTTCTCGTATCTGTAAGTGGCCAATAGAAAACCTAGATACCAGGAGTCTGGGAGTTCTGAGATCTCAGCCACAGAGTCTAACAACTACGGAGAATGTAAGTCTCTGTCCCCACCCAGTGTCCCCCTCGATTAAGTATCAAGTATCATTGAATTTAAACAACCCCCCCCACACACACACACTCACTTATCTGTGTCCCACAGAGGTGACCAACTCCTTTTTTTGTAAGAAGCAGGAATAGGCTTGTCATGGGCCCTGGGAGCCTAAGCCCTCTGTGCGGTGGCCAGGATAACCAGATGGGTTCCTCTGTCTCCTGCCTTCTGAATTTTGCCTTTATTCTTACTGGTTCTGCAGACACAATTGGGCCAAAACTTATATGATCATAGCACATCCAAGAGGTTTATCTGTGGGATGTTTCCTGGAAGGGTTGAGGACCCAGAAGGTCCAGGCATGTCAAGAACACTTCTCCCTGGCTCCCAAGTGCCACTCCATCCAGGGAGGTCTGCTCTTGCCTTTTGGAATTCCCCTAGTCACCTACCTCCACCCATCGCCCCCCTCTGCGGAGCATTCCCCAGCTCACTGTGGGCATCTACATGATTAGTTTTCCTACTTATTGTTTTCCCTAAACTCCCCCCCCCCAAAAAAAAAATACACCCTCTCTCATGGTTTATTCCAGTGTGCAAATTGTGTTCATTTGGCCTCTCTGTTCCACCAAAGCACTTTCTCTCTGTCACTAAGAGGCGATATCTCTCTTCTCATAGACCCAGGACTCCCTCCATGCTCCTACTTCTGATCAACTTGCCCTCTCCATGCACTAGATTTCCCAGGAGGAAAGCCTTCTTTCCCTTCACTGCATTTAAGCCCCAACCATAGAGCTGCTTGAAATTGGGCTTAAAGAATGAAGATTCCTGCACTACCCAGCCTGGCCACCTGATGGCAGACAAGGATAACTTTAAGCCTAGGCTGGGCTAACTTGAACTTGGCAAAGAGTTTTCCTTATCAGTGAGCACTGATTGGTGCATAAGGCTTCCCCTGCACCTGAAAGCATATATTGAGCACCTGTGGCATGCATATATTGGTACATTTTTCAGTCTTGCAGATACATAATATACTTTTCAAAACCTGTCTGGTATGGCTCAGTGGTTGAGTGTAAACCTGTGAACCAGGAGGTCACAGTTCCCCCTCCCCTGTCCCCCATCAGGGCACATGCCTGGGTTGCAGGCTCGATCCCCAGTGTAGGACCATACAATCAATGATTCTCTCTCATCATTAATGTTTCTATTTCTCTCTCCCTCTCCCTTCTTCTCTAAAATTAAAAAAAAAAAATAGTGGGTTCCCAGGACTAGTTTTTAGGACTCATCTCAGTAATCTTTTTAAAACAGCTTTACTGTAGAATAAATTATATACAATTAAATTCACCCATTTTAGGTGTACAATTTGATGAATTTGGGTAAGTGTATGAGACACACAAACACCATCACATCAAGTTTTAAAATGCTTTTATTGCTCCAAAAAGTTGTTTCATGCCTCTTTGCAGTCATTCACTGTCCTGACCCTGATCCCATGCAACCACCGAATTGCTTTCTGTTATTATAGTTTGCCTTTCCTAGGATGTCATAGAAATGGGATCATTTTTTACTGACTTCTGTCACTTAGTATAATGTTTTTGAGATTCAACCAACCAGTCTTCTTTGCTGAGTAGTATTCCATATACAATATGCCACATTTTACCCACTCGAAATTGCTATGAACATTTTCAGATGAGTCTTTGTATGAAAGTATGCTTTCATTTATTTGGAGTAAATAGCTAAGAGTGGAATTGCTGGGTCATATGGTGAGTGTATGTTTAACTTTTAAATAAAAATGCCAAACTGTTGCCTTAGCTGGTTTGGCTCAGTAGATAGAGCTTCGGCCTGCAGACTGAAGGGTCCCAGGTTCGATTCTGGTCAAGGGCACATGCCCAGGTTTCAGGCTCCATCCCCAGTAGGGGGGTGT